CTTACATTTATGTGTCTTTTATATGGATAAAACACACACGATGTGTTAATCAGTGAACTGTAGGTGTATTTTGTTAACTCTGGACAGAGCCAGGCTAGCTGTTTCCCCCTGTTTCCAGTCTCTATGCTAAGCTAAACTAAGCTTTGCTTGCTGTAGCTTCAGATTAATGGCACACAGGGTTACTTTAAAAATGTAGTCCGATACAATGACTTACTCATTTTCTGTTACTGTTTTTAAAATGGCAGAACAATGAAATGTTGGAAAAGAAAATGGAGAAACCAAGATTTTTAGTTTTAAAATGTGTCCTCTGCATTTCATTAAGCCAATTCAGGCTGTAACCTACAGTCCATTTTCACAGAACTTGCACTTGTACTATGATGTTTGTTCCCTTTTCTGACAAAATAATGGTGAAATTTCCACCCAGTGAAATCATTTTCTTCACTAGAGATCATAATGAATTAATACCTAAGATTAGCTATAGATTTCACAGAATGGTGTTTTGAAATTGTAATCCTTCTGAATAATCCCCATTTTTACTAAATGCAACTGTAATCTGATTACAATTTCTTAACATAACATTGTTAGATGTAATCTGTTACTTCCCAAGCCTGATGGTACAAACAGGACAGTGGTATCGATATCAAAACATGAAACATGTTAGAAACTGAATTTAAAGATTAATTTGTTAATATTTGTTTTTATGACTTTAATTTACATAATGAGCTTGTTAACAGGAATATGTCTGTTGTTTAATCCTTAATATTTTGTATTAATGTACACTAAATGATCTCCAACTGCCTGTTTATCATCTGGTCAGAGTTGTATTTAGATGTGTTTACTTTTAGAGACGACATGCAGTAAACTAATCATCGGTCTGAGAGTAGATCATTAGTAAAAACATTTTAATCAGTTATGAATGGACGCTGGATCATTTAAGATGTACAGTACTTGTACTCAGAAGTAAAAGCAGCATGTAATACTCAGTATCAGCTTTAAAATATACTTCAAAAGTAAAGCACTCATTATACATAATGGGGCATTTCTAATTAATATACAGCACTTTATATAAGAGGGTTATAATTAGTGACGCATTCATGTGTAAGCGTCACTAATGTTGCAGCTAATTTTAATTACTTATTGCTGGGTAGCTTAACCTTTAATACACAAAGGTGGGAAGTAACTAAGTACAAATACTTGCTCCTGCACTTTAGTAGTTTTTCAGTTACCTGTACTTTACTTTTACCCTTTATTTGGTCAGAAATATCTGAACTTTCTGCTCCTTACAGTTTCAAAACAGGCTTGTTGTTTAGATTTTGATGCATTTGAGGGGTGTTATCCATATTTATTTTTATTTTACACCATTGCTCACCTTACCAACATTAACACCGGAGCATAAACGACAGGACTCGACCCTGTTTGAAGTTTCAGTTTTGCATAGAAACAGCCGGTAGAAATGTCCTTTAGAGAAACCAAGAGAGTACTTTTATACTTTGAGTATATTTTAGATCCTGTATTTTTTCTTTATACTTGAGTAAAGAAGTTGAATAAGTTCAAGTATCTGTACTTGTACTCAAGTAAACAATGTGTGTGTTTTACCTCTGATAATATTATAATTATTTATTAAGTTATTGATGAAGTAGAATAAACTAGAAAAACATGGAAATAATCAAATAAAGAACAGCTATATAGTTATGAACCACCACTGGAAATACTTCAACTCTGAGAAAATGATCTCCATCAAAGTGAGGAAACATGTAAGAATGCAGGATAAAATAGAGCACGCTGTTTGTGTGTATGAACCGTATGAACAGTGCAGATCAGTGATAACACACAGTGACAGGGGGAAGGCAGCCTGAGGCAGACGCTCTGCTGACCACCGCTACTAAACCTTCTCTTCTCCTTTTACGCTTTTAAACTCACAGAACAAAGCACCCAGAGTGTTGCAGATGTAACCTTCTTTCAAGTTTCATTTCATACAGAGAGGAGGCTGTTAACAGCATCACAGCATTTCCACCTGTGGTCGAAGCAGAGAGGGAGGTGATTGACTGCAGAGACATGCTCAGATGGAGCACAGCCGCACCCCCCCCACACACACACACCCCCTAAGACAGGAAGCCAAAAGACCATCTGCAGCACCGAGCTATTGTGAGGCTGTGCATTAAGCTATTTTATGTCCCACATGAATTAACTGCCAGTCTTAAGTTAGCAGGATTGCAGGAGTATATCATGTGTACTGTGAGGGGAGAACAAAGGCAGTTTTTAGTTAAGTGTGTGAGCCTCGCAGATGTAAAGAGTGTGAATAGATGAATGAAAAAGAGAGAAATACGGGATCTGGATTTCAGCTCAATACTTTATTAAATAATCAACATAGTCATCATGAAAAAGGAAAAAACAAAAAAAAACATGAAAAATGAAACAGTCACATTTGTTTTTCTTCAAGTTTTCCTCGTCAACAGTATTACACTTTTAGCTGCACACATGTACACACACACACACACACACACACATTTTAGTGGCTTTACAAAAGTCATTCAAGGTGATGTGCTGCTTCATTTTGGTGTGACAGTTACAATGATGGCTGAGGAAGGTAACCCAGGGGGACCCAGGCAGAGGAAGAGGAGGAGGAGGAAGAGGAGATGGATGCTAGACAGTTATATATTTATATCTGTATTAACATCTGTCTAGTGTTGACACAACACAGACGAATGTGAAGTTGTTGAAATTTGAAAGCTTTTGTGGAAAAAAAGCCGAAGCATCAGAGGCAAAGCTACAATCAGTGAGGACTCAGGCTGAGCTGGAGCTGCCTGCGACAAACGCTACACGTACAATGGCTGCCTTTGTGTCACTAGCTGGTGCATTGATAAGAAAAAGCCATTGATAGCCACTATCTTGATGGTTTCTTTATGTGTACTGTAGCCTGTGTGACTCCGAGGGAGCAGGGAGATTCTTGTTGCAGTAGATGACACATCGTGACCACATCTAAATTAGCAAATTGACAAATGAAGTCTGGTATGAGGCCATTATAAAACAGCTGAGTTTGAAATAAAGTAAGTTATAATTCTGTCGTAGCTCATATGTTTTCACATGCTTTGCTATTTCAGGCTTGAGAAAATAATGAAAGTCGATTATTAACTTTTGTGTCTACTGTTTTCTAAATATGAACAGACCACCGTAATGATGATACATCTGCAGTCATAAGAGAGTTTAATACTGCTGACATCATGTTTCCTATACAGGAACACTCCAATGAGATCCAGTTTTAAGTTACTAAAGAAGTAATCTTTCATTTTAAAACATCACATATAAAAAGTCAAACAAAAGCAGAGGTAAAAAAAAAAGAAAAAAGAAATATTTCTAAACTACCTGGCTGGCATGCATGCTACTACACAGCAAGACTATTTCTTTTTGTTCATTTTTTTCATTTTTCACAGCTCTTTTATTTTATTTTTTTACACACCCACATATTTACATCGTCAGTCTATGGTGTCTCACCGACCTACAGCAGCAGCAGCAGCAGCAGCATACTGAAATAACTTAACACAACTCATAGAGCTGTGAGGACTTAAAGTCTCATCAAACACTATATTTTTCTTACTGTCAACAAAAGAAATTGTCAGTGTGTCCAAAGCCTGACGAATCATGTTCTTCTTCACTGCGATGAACTTTAGCACGTTCGTTGCACAAACAGTGTCCTGCTGCTGTAAATACTCAGGGCACCAAATGTGTATTCATCCACAGTTGAAAATAGTCCCCAATAAATGCAGTTTTTACTCCCATTTGAGTGACATTTGTCAAAATCTACAGTGGCCAACTTTTTTAGGAAAGTACTTTGCTTTAAAAAAAAACATTAATGATCTGGTTTTGAAGATTCATGTGTTTAGTAAGAACAAAACTAAACTTTAAAGTACTAAAAGAACGCTTGAATGCATCATAGTTGTTGACTGTAAGAAAAATATAGAATAACAAAAGACTTATCCATTAAATCTTCACATTGTTCACACAAACCCAAAAGTTTCCAAAACTGAGCCCATCTGAATTATTCTGTACAGGAGAGTTGTCAAAGTCCCAAATGAAGGTCCCATCCACAAAGGTCCAGTTTGCACTAAATGTCCTGTTTAACCTTGTTTAAATATCTAGTGTCAGTCAGTTTCTGTATCATAAATCATCCACAGAGACGTCACAGGCATCGTGTGTCTCTTTCATCGCAGTCAAAGAGCTCTTGACCCGTGCTGAGGGAGTTTTATTGGATGAACAGAACTAGAGCTCCGGTTGAGATGCGAGTTAATTGGCTTGGAAGCCGCTCTCGCTCTGTGAAGCTATTGGAGGAACGGTCACGTGATCCAGCTCGCCGACTGATCGAACAGAGGTACTGAAAGAGGGGACAGTCGCCTTCTTGGTTGAGACCAAATTACGTCACATTTGCCAAATTGCGTTAAAGCCCAATCAGGCTTAAACGCTATGGTTCCTCTGTGTCTGTGCTATTAATGAGCACAATCAATGAGCCAAATATGAGCGTTGAGTTGTTTTTCATTAAAGGAAAGGTTACAACGTGCTGCTGAAGGAAAACCTGTAGCAGATTGTTCCTCATTTGTCACTGATGTCAGAGCAAGAGTTAATATCAGCACCACTTGAACAACTTGTACTGTATCTTCTGATTTAATTAACGTTCCAGGTCTACAGGAGACGAATGGTGGAAGCAGATGTTGCCCTTAACTCTGACCCACATTCACACACAAACACAACCGACCCGATGCCAACAAACAGTCCCATTCTGCCCTTCCTCGTCCTGACAATGGCTGGCGGGTGTGGGGTGTCAAATCTAATGAAACAGGCCAGGAACAACAGCTGAGTGTGTGTGGAAATGGGGTTGGAGGGGGGGGAGAGGGAGGGAGGG